TTTTTCATAGGTACAATGAACCTGTAAAAATCAACCACACAATGAGATGTCGCTTTCTATGTTATAGGAAATGAGAAGTAGAGGCATCAAACTTGAGTGGTGTTTGTATTGTACTTGGCAAAGAGGAGCTTTGCAAGCTGTACAGCGTCCTCTTGTCCAGAAACCAACGTAAGGCTTGGTAAAAGCTGCTTTATGACAGGAGTAATAACAATGTCTGCCCGTTCATTCTCCAGGAAGGTCTTGTTGTAGACACAATGGGGTTCATAATATAACGTAAGCACATCTTGTGGAGAAGTGATGAGATAACTGGGCCACGTATGTAGGTAGAAGAAAATATAGTCACAATTTCCATATTCCGTAAAGAAACTACTCAGCATAATAAGAATATTGCCTACCCATTCTCTGGTCGTTTCCAAGGAGGACCAAGAATTGGCCCAGGAGTTGCCTTCACTTTAATTGTAAAGCCATTTTTTGTTTCAATTTCATAGCCCTGACCAGGTTCCAAGTATGTGACCTACATGATTTTGCCGTGACTATTTAAACAAATTAACTCACAAATAAAGAGGAAACACTACTTTTTTTGTACAAAAGAGAGAATGCACTACATGACAGTGTTGTTTCAAGAACATCAAACATAATTGAGATAGCACTCAAAAAATGTGATTTGTCTCAAATGCAAGCTTGTATTGATAGTTGGGCATCTTATTAACCAAAACAAATGAAACAAAGTGTCTCCCAGTCTCCCACACAAACATGCTATTTTCACTAGCAGATAGCTGTTTTTAGTTCCCATTTCTATATGATATTTGCAATTAGCGTAACAATCAAAATACAACAACAATAACAACAACCAAGCAGTGGAACCTCATATGTGGGGTCAAGGGAGTGGGTGTAAGCTAACCTTACCCCGAACTAGAAAAGGTAGACAGGTTGTTTTTGCAAAGAACCCCGACTCGGGTAAAAAAAAAGGATTTTAAAACGAGCATATGAAAAAGAACCCCAATCTATGTCTGCCATAAAATAAAACATATGGGCGAAGTATACCACGCACATTCTTAAAAAGAGGATCCAATAGCATATTTGCGTTAGGAGTTCCAATTGCCCTGAGATTTGGTGACTTTTGAGAGAGGGACCTTAGAGTCTTGAGATGACAATGATCATCGAGGCTTTGTGTAATTAATAAACAATCAATTTCTGGAAGATCATCTATCTGCTCGAAAACCACAAGTGACTATTTAGTCCAAATTCAATAATAAAAAGCATATAAAGGAAAATCATCACTGTCTAAAATTCACAATGATAATAAGAATTGGGTATATTTAATACTCCCTCCCATAAGTAATGTCACAAGTTACTATCTGGGATTGCCAATAACTTTTGTTTACTTATGTGTTTTCATTTATCATTTCATAAAATAAAAGTCATGTCACATCTTCTTTTGTAGATCTTTTGATGTAGTTTTTAAATATGTTAGTGTCATTTTTTTATTTCAATACTAAGTTTTAATTAAAATGATTTTAAAAAGTGTGAGGCTTTTCCTTGTAATCCGTTTTGTGACATTACTTATGGGCTGGAGGGAGAACATAATTACTATGGAGTACATTTTACAACCAAAAAAGACAGTGATAGTAAGAAACATTGGAGAGTACCTGAAAATTCTTCAAAAACTTCTTGGAACCATCATAAAACCACGGAATTCCAAAATCCAAATTACCTACCAAAATGGGATCCACCAATATTTTCACCCCTCCTACTTCCCACAACCAACTGTTTCCCTAATTAAACGTGAGAACTAAAATAGATATTCGACATCAATGAAGAATCAGAAACGGACCATAAAACACACTCAATCCGTATAAAAATTCAACCTCTAAGTAAGTCAGTTTGAAGATATCAATGCCTGAAATATCAGACACAGCGGATTTCGGCTCTGAAACCATGGCCGAAATGCCCTTAGATATCCTGCAAAGCCAGTAAAGATCAATTCACAAACAAGATTCTGCAACTCCTTAGTGTGTTTTAGATAATAAAGAGACAAAGGGACCTGGAAACTGAGGGATTGATACAAGAACCGGCAACAAATGGAAACTTTTGAGGATTTGTGAAGTGCGGCGGCAAAAGAGAGGATGGGGACACTGCCCTTGTTGCTGTACCGCAAGCTGGTTTGCAGGGGAAGCATGTGAGGGAAATGCAGTGGGCAGCCATTCACGCAGCACTGAAATTAAAGAATTGATGTAGAATTTAGATGTTGTGGGATAGAATCGCGAGGCTTTGAAAAGTACATAGAAGAGGAAACCAAACCTGACAGCAACTCTGCTATCTTTCGGTTCAGATATCTTTTGGTTCGGATATCTTTCGGTACGAGAGGTGGCAATCGGATCAATCGGATCGGTTTCGGGTTGGATTTTTTCGGTTTGGATATCTTTCGGTTATATGTTATAATCGGTTCGGTTCGGTTCGGATCAGTTAAATTTCGGTTCGGATTTGATTTCGGTTCTATACATTTTTCGAATCGGTTCGGTTTCGAGTCGGTTCAGATACGGTTCGATTATAAATCGGTTCGGATAGATTTCGGTTCGGATACAATTTGATTCGGATATATTTCGGTTTCGGGTCTAGTTCGGTTCGGATATATTTCAGTTTCGGATCAAATATATTTTGGATATATATTATTTTCTAATTAAAATTTAACTATCCGTGTTTCTTTTTATGTTTTATCACATTTATCAATCTATCATCAATTCAATACCTCATATTATTTTATATTTTTTTCTAGTTATATTATCTCTACCCTAAATAAGCTTTCCTTTTTGACTTTTTAGTCATATTTTACAAATTTGGACTACAAATTCTGAAAACATATATATTTAATTATGATATAAATTTAATATAATTAAATTGATTTTAAAATTTAGTTTTGAAATATCAAATTTTTCTCACATCTACTAATATACTTATGTATATAAATGAAAGGATAAAAGATAAATTCAAATAGTCTTATGTTCCATTTGAATACAATTTGCTAAAAATTGAGTAAAATTGGGTGAAATTAAGTGAATTTTATTCAATTGAGTGCAAAATTTGTAAATTATTGAGTATATTTGGTTGAAAATAGAGAAAATTAAATTTAATAGAGTCAAATATAATTAATTTTACACCTAAATGTAATGGTGTGGATCAAATTTGAAAATGATAACAGTAAAGGCTGCCGCTAGAGAGTCTTTTCAAAATGCTAACACTAGCATCTAATTTTATTGACTAATATTGAGTGAATTGGTTTGAAACTAATCAAATTAACTCTCAAATCAATAAAATTTATTGTAATGAGATTAAATTAGGATAAAATCTGTTGGAACGCGGGTTTACGCCTATGTCGTACTAAGCCGTGTTCGTCTTATGACAGGTTTTGATAATGCCAAACCGTCGTGACCATAACAAGGCTAAAGTGAGAAAAACCAAGGCGAAGGAACATGGCATGATGATTTGAAAACCAAGAACCAAGAATCAAGAACGAAGAATTAGAATTGTATTGAGTCGGTCTTAATGTGATCAAGACCGGCACAAACTTTCAAATCTTGGCTCTCTAGGCTTCTCTCATCAAAATATCTTTTGCATATTCAAAAAATGTGTTTCTTAAGTTTTAAACTACCTAAAAACACTTGGAGTATGCCCAAACCAAAAAAAAAAGCCATCCGGCGTTCGGTCTTCGGAAACCGGCGTTCGGCTTTTGGTTATCGGCGTTGGTTTTTGGCGTCCGAACCAACCAAGTGGTTTTCAACTTTTAATGATTGGTTTTTACTTCTGGGCATGTTTAAATAGTTCTCCAACAAAAACGCCTCAAAAACCACCTTTCGTTTTTGGTCGTTTAGTGAAAACCATGCGAAACGGCGTAAACTTGGCTAGCCGTGGTTTTCAACTAAATGACGTGGTTTTCAAAATGTTTTACTTGATTTCTTAGCAAAATTCATTAAACAAACATTTTCAATACTTGATTTTTATTTTGGAGAACTTACATTTTTAACATCGGCTAACGGCTGGCTAAACCAACCATGGGTCTGGCTAAACCAGCCCAACAGCGATGTTGGTGAAACCAACAGCGCTGTCTGGTTGGGTGGCTGAAAACCATGGTTTGGCGTTAAGTCTTCCAACAGCGATGTTGGATGTTAGACATCGCTGTTGAGCCAAGGTTGGATTTCCAGAAACTTCTGGAACAGCGATGTAGGCTTCCCTACAGCGCTGTCCAACCTAAGCCAAAAAGAAATGCTTCTGGGAGAAAGTTTCAGGACAGCGATGTTGACCCAGCAACAGCGCTGTCAAGCCAAACTTCCATCTTCAAAGTCAGACCTAAACAGCGATGTTCAAGTTATGAACATCGATGTAGGGACCTGACCGTTGGAAGGAATTTAAGGCTAAAACTTTCCTTGTTTGGAAGTCAACAGCCAAAACAGCGATGTAGGGGTTTTAGACATCGCTGTTGGCATGACCGTTGCTTCCCAATTTTTTAAAATCAAGCCTAGAACAGCGATGTCCAAGCCTAGGACAGCGCTGTCTGGGTGAATTTCAGCAGATCCAAATTTAATCAAATCCCACAAATTGTGCCAATCACCTCTTAAATACTTTGGTCCGTTGGAGCCTTTTTTTACTATAAAAAGGGGTGTTTGGGTCTGTTTTACACATCACATAACTTCACAACTTCTACTCTTTCATTGCAAATCATTCATCATTTTTTTCATAGCTTTTTGAGAGCCATTTTTGTGAAGCTTGTGTTGCGTTCTTGAGCGTACTAAGTTACTCATTATCCACTCTAAAAGAGAGTATTGTTCTTGAGAGTTTTTAGTGTTCTTAGACACTTGACAAGAGAAAGTATTTCTCTTGTTGTTCGAAGGAAGGGCTGTTTCCTTCGAGAGTTCGTTGAGGTTCGTGTGATTCGAACTCTCAAGTTGTACGGGTTTGTTAAGCACCGTTAAGCTTAACGAGATAGTAGTGTAGCTCGAGAGAGTCTCTCGGGAGGCTGGATTAGCCACAAGTTGTGGTGAACCAGGGTAAAATCGGTGTGCCTTTTACTCTTCTCTTTACTTCTCGTTTATTCAATTTTATTCCTGCGATTTTTTGATCAAACGCTATTCACCCCCCCTCTAGCGTTGGTCTATTATTCTAACAATTGGTATCGGAGCCTAACTCGCGTCCAAACTTAACCGTTTGAGAGTAAAGCGATCATGGGCTCTTCTTCTAGAAATCTCTATGCAGGAATTGGAGAAGGTCAATCAACTTCTAGGCCGCCACTCTTTGATGGCACCAACTACTCCTATTGGAAGGAACGGATGAGAATTTATATCCGTTCCACCAACTTCCAATTATGGTTGGTCATCAAAAACGGAGAGCAAATCCCTATGAAGAAAGTAGGAGAAACCACAGTCCCAAAAACCGAGGATGAGTTTGATGCTGAAGACATCAAGAAGGTTGAAAACTACGCAAAAGCTATCAACATGCTTTACTATGCGGTTAACCCCGATGACTACTGGAAAATCTCCTGCTGCACAACCGCCAAGGAGATGTGGGACAAGCTTGAGGTGACGTACGAAGGTACCGATCAAGTTCGTGAAGCCAAGATCGATTTTCTCACCCAAGAGTACGAAATGTTCCGAATGAAAGAAGGTGAGAAAATCGATGACATGTTCGACTGGTTCTCAAAGATCATCAACGATCTTCATGCTCTCAAAAAGACTTACACCAACAAGGATCTCGTGAGGAAAATCCTGCGGAGTCTCACACCCGAATGGAGGTCAAAAGCCGATGCAATCTATGAATCCATTGGAGTCTCAAATGTCACCATCGACGGGCTAAGAGGTAACCTCAAAACTTATGAATCTATTATTCTAACCCCATCTTTGGATGAACAAAAGAAGAAAGGAATAGCTCTCAAAGCAACCAAGGAGACTGTGGAAGAAGTCTCAAGTGATGATGACAACGAGTTCGGACTCGTCATCAAGAAATTCCACAAATTCATGAAGAAGGAATTTGAACGGAAAGGAAGAAAGCACGACGGTCCCCCGAAGTGCTATGGCTGTGGCGAGATAGGCCACATCAAGCCATGCAAGATGTCCAAAAGGCAAAAGCGGCAAGGACAAACCTGGCTTCAAAAAGCAACGAGCCTATATCTCATGGGGTGGTGACTCTGGCGACGAGTCAACTGATCAAGAAGAGGAGGAAGCCGCCAACCTCTGCCTCATGGCGCACGAAGATCAAACCAACGACGTTCAAGAGGTATGTACCATTTCTTCCGACTCTTATACTTTTGAAGAAATGCAAGAAGCACTTCATGA